ACAAAGCCCCAAGAGAATGGTCCATGGCTCTAACGTACAACAGGAATGGTTTTCCTGATATCGGGGCCACGAGAACTGGTGGTTGAGTGAGATATCTCTTAATCTCCTCGAATACTTTTTGACACTCTCTATCCCAAACAAAGGATACTCCTTTCTTCATAAGCTTAGAGAAAGGTTGGCAACGCCCTGAAAGATTTGATATAAATCTTCGGATGTAGGCCAGTCTACCTTGCAACCCTCTGAGCTCTTTGAGATTCTTCGGAGGCGACATGTTTTGGATGGCACGCACTTTCTCTGGATCAAGAGAAATTCCCTTGGAGGTAACAATAAATCCCAGGAATTTTCCGCTTGATACTCCGAGAAATAATTTTGTCGGGTTCATCTTCAGCTGATGTGCTCACATAATCTCGAACATTGTCTTCAGATCTGTAAGATGATCACCTTTACACTGACTCTTTACTGCTATATCATCAACATAGCACTCGATCTTCTTTTGTAGGTGTTCGTGAAAGATCGTGTTCATTGCACGTTGATAAGTTGTACCTGCGTTTTTCAGGCTGAAGGGCATCACTGTATAGCAATACACCCTCAGGGGTGTTCTAAAAGCAGTATGTTTCTCGTCTTCTGGGTGCATCTTGATCTGATTGTATCCGGAGAATCCATCCATGAAAGACATCCTTTCATATCCGCAGGTGTCGTCAATCATAACATCTGTGATAGGAAGCGGGAACTCATCCTTTGGACAGGCTGCGTTAAGGTCACGAAAGTCGATGCATATACGGACCTTACCATTTTTCTTGGGTACTGGGACTATGTTGGTCACCCAGTCCGGATGTTGCTCTTCCCTAACGAAACCTGAGTCTATAAGCTTTTTAACTTCTGACTCAATTGATTCCATGATCTCTGGACGAAACCTGTGTTGTTGTTGTTTAACGGGTTTTGCATCCGGATCGATGTTAAGACGGTGCATGGCAACCTTCGGGTCAAGGCCAGGCATATCTTCATAATTCCAAGCGAAGACATCTATATATTCTCGGATAAGAGATATAAGGTCCTTTTTTTCGGATGGTGATAAGTCTTCAGCTATAAAGATAGGCTTAGGGTCAGACTCATCTCCCATGTTGACCTGGATCACTTTATCTTCAGTGGGTGGTTCGCGTTGTTCGAAGCGCATATCCCACAAGATGTTAAGACGTTTGATCCAAGGATCATCGGTTGATTCGATTAACTCTTCGTCACCCCCTGCATCTTCATCGGGGTGACTAGTTGAAACCATGTTCATAGTCAAACTTTTAAAGAAAGGTCCGACACTGACGTCGGATTCCCAGGATGATGTTCCGGATGAATGATCCTGACGCAGATAATTACTGATTTCATTTTTTAAGGCAGGGGGAGTTGTGACATAACCTAAGTCTCTTCCGGTTTTTTGATAATAATCCGGAGGTTTTCCTTCAGGGGTGAGAGACATTCGGATCGGTGTCCGTCTTCCTTTCCCAAAATTCAAACCCTGTTTCTCATTGAAGTTATACCCCATTCGTTTCATTAAATGTATAGAATTGGGTTCGTGATAATGGAATTGGGGAGCTCCATCATCTTCCTCTGAACTTCCTCGTTTGAGTGGTTCAGGTTTGACTTTACCAAAACAGATAGGCTTCTGCCCTTTCCTTTTGGATGTGACTTTGAAGAAAGCCTTCCGTGCATCTTCTACTTTTTCATCTGAAGCGAAGGATGACTGAATTGGCAAGGTGAACGATGCCTCTGTGCACAGTACGTGCCATGGGTTGGTACCTGCATTAAGATCATTCTCTATTTGTTTATTTTTAGAGGAGACATCAGACAAGTACGCCTTAAGATCATTCTCTATTTGTTTATTTTTAGAGGAGACATCAGACAAGTACGCCAAAATAAAATCTTCATCAATGCACCACTCGCCCTCGCTCGGTACATTATTATTACTCTCATCCTGACCCATTGCATCGAAATTTAACTCCCATGGACAATCTTCATCAGGATCTGGTTCAGTATCAGCTTCGTTACCACAGTCCACATCTTCTTTCTCCTGGGACTCTAGATAGAAGACGGAGTCAGTGTGGAAGTTTTCCGCTCCTCGGAAGGGGTATTTTTCCGCAATTAAGGTTCGGACTTCCCCCTCATCGTTGGCGTACTTCATGACCTGATGCAGTGTAGATGGGACAATACGGTTTGCATGTATCCATGGTCGTCCTAGCAAAAGATTGTAGGACGTGTCCGCGTCTATGATATAACAATTCACTTCGGACTTAAGATCTCCGATCTGGCATCTGAGCTTGATCTTTCCCAGGGGCCGAGTGCTATTAGTGTTGAACCCGAAGATGGTAGTCTGAGTAGTGTTCAGTCGATGCATAGGAATTCCTAAGACCTGTATGACCCTATAAGGCATGATGTTGAGTGCTGAGCCTGGGTCTACTTGGACACGACTGATTTCGGAGGATCCGATATACCCCGTGTAGTACACACGACTGATTTCGGAGGATCCGATATACCCCGTGTAGTACAGCGGTCTGTCGTGCTTGTGTTTGACCTGCATGTCTTCCTGTGTGAATGATATACAGGGTAAACTCCTCGCCGCTTGCAGACACTGCCGACAAGTTTGATCTTCAGAAGCTTCGGGAATTAGAGTGACTTGGGTGATGAAGCTCTCTGTATTCCTTAAGGCTTCGATCAGAGCTTCCTTGGTAGTTTTGGACAGCCTCAAAAGTTCATATAGAGTAATTCTGGCCGGTATGTTGGCCAACTGTGCCATAACATTGAACTGGAAGGGAGCGCTTGATTCTCCAGACTCCTGGTGGAGGTTTTTGTTGAATCGAAGCTCCTTTTGTTTTCCTTTATCAACTGGCTTTTTCGGGACAGAACCCCCAGCGTCTTGGGTTGTTCCTCAATCTCTTGAGCGTTTTGACTGTAATCCCTCAAGTAAGCTTTTCCTGACCGAGTGCCAGGGTTGTCTCTTGGGTATGCTGCCAGGGCGATCCTCTCCTCTTTTGAATCAGTAAGAGGTTTGAGGTGATCATCATTTTCAATAATGGAGGGGCTAATCATATTGGAAGACTTAGCCTTGCCTCCCTTCTTTTTGGACGAGGTGTTCGTCCATTGTTGATCTCCTAGTAGATCAGGGTGGACCCACATGATTTCCCCTTTTGGGGTGGTGAGGGGTACCAACCCCCTGTCTTTCTGGCTATGCAAGTCAGCATTCTTCAAGTGCATTTCTCCCTTACGAATGGGAATAACGTCATTCGCAGTTACTACTAGAGGAAAATCACCGAATTGGACCGCTACCATATTAGTGGATACGGTCTTCTGCTCGGGTTTCAAAGTGAGCACATTAGCATTTACCAAATTCTGCAAAATGTCTTTGAAGACATAGCATTTTCTGGTAGGATGTCCAAGGAACTTGTGATAACGGCAATAGTTGGGGTCATCCACCTTCCCTGCTTCATCAGGCTTCCTGACTTCAGGCAACTGCAGTTTGTTGTTCTTTCGGAGCAATTGGAATAAGGTATCCACATGCTCCTCTTTAAACGAATACTGCTTGGGCGCTCTTTGTTGATTTGGCGCCTTGCCTTGCTTAGTAGGCGGTGGCACTCGCGTGTAGTCAGCTGCTAAAGTCTCCTTTCCCTTAGACCGCTGGGCGTTGTTCTGGTTGCGTTGCTGCTGCGGCTTGGGTTGCGGCTCTTCTTCAGCTTTAACTCGCGCCACTATCTCTTCAGATTGTTCTCCTTGTGAAACTAGTTGTCTCCGGGAGTGACACTCCGCTACCCCCATCTGAGCAAGGAGCTGGGTCTGCAAGTTGTGCCTGCAAGTTTCAACCAAAGTTGATTGGGTCATACCTGAAGGGCATCGTAACGCCATGCTGCGGAATCTCTCCACATAGGTCTTGATGGATTCTCCCTTCTTCTGTTTAGTGACGAGAAGAGTCAGGACTGAGACCTCTGTGTCGTCTTCGAAGAACCTAGCCAAGAATAGCCTTTCCAGGTCTACCCATTTCTGGATAGATCCGGCAGGCAGTTTCATGAACCATTCGAAAGCAACACCCTTGAGGGTACCGATGAATAGCCTGGTCAAGATGGCGTCGTTCGCTACCACATCTCCAGTTTGGGATTTGAAGTAGTAAATGTGCTGGTTCAGCGATCCTGTGCCATCGAACGGTTGCAAGGTAGGGGCCTTAAACTTTGGCGGGTAGGGAGCCGTATCCCACTCAGCAGGGTAAGGCCGCACTACTCCTTCTTCACGGAGCTCGCTTCTATTGGCAATTACGTTGAGGCGAGCCTCCAGTTCATCCACTTTAGCGGACTAGGAATGCAGCTCTTTTTCCACCTCTTTCTCATTTTCAGAAGATGAATCCAAGTTGTGAGTCTCACGATCTGAATGTTCGTGCACTTTCTGCTTTCCCTTTGACATAGTTCTCCGGGAAGACTCGGGTTTTTGGCCTTTTTTAGCAAGAAGCTGAGCCAACATCTCCTTTAATTGGAGAAGTGTCTCCTGTTGCGTCTGGAGCATGACATGATGTTTGTCCACTCTTTTGGCTATGTCCTCGGGGTTTCCCGCCATGTAAGCAGAAACCTCTTGTACTCCGACAGAGCTTGAAGATTGAGATTCGGCTATTGCCGAATGTTCATCACTTGTTGTAATGCCTTTGGCTAACTTTTGATAGTTAACCGGGCGAATAGCTCCTGTCCGAGTCCGAGTATTCCGATATACTCCTTCGAATTGGTCACAAATTTCCCTAACAGTTGGGGAATGACTTCTTTGTGACCCGTCGGAATCGGAATGCGAGGCTTTTCCTCTACCGATCATGTTGATGGTGACCTCGAGGTATTCCTCTTCAGCTATTTTCTTTCTGTATCGACGTTGTCGTTTAGCAGGCCTAATGACGTTCGTTAACCTATCAAACACCGACTGCCGAGGTACAGACGCGTATTAGTGGCATTCTGAAAGGACTGCCGAGATAAGCCTCTCACATTGACATGAGTGAGCTGCTTGCTGCGCTGGTTTTCCTCTTGACAGTAATTCCCGTAAATCAGGAACTTGTGAGGAAATTTTCCCTGGGCGTGGAGGCGGAGATGGAACCCCCTGCCCTTGGGTGGGTGAAATTAGTTCTTGTCGAACGTGGATTTTGAAACCACGCTGACTTTTCTGAACCTGGCGGACCTCTTGAAGATCGCGTTCTTGAAGAACAACGCTAGGGTCGCGTTCTTGAAGAATAACGCGAGGGTCACGTTTAGTTTTATAAACATTAGGCCGAGGCCCACCTTTAAATGATGAAACAGACCCTTGAGGGTCATGTTTTGGTTGAACGCGCCCCTGAGGGTCGCGTTTAGTTGGTGGAACAGACTTCTGAGAGTCATGTTCTTTTTGAACGCGTACGTGAGAGATGCGTTTGTCTTTGGCAGCTTCCTTCTGAGGGCTGCATTTTGAAGTAACAACGCGCCATTCAGGGTTGCGTTTTAGCTGTATCAGCCTAGGCTCGTAGTCGGGCTCATTGCCACGAAGCGAACGTTCTGTTTTTGGAACGCTAGGCTCAGGCAAAATTTCAGAAACGCGATCTTCGCGTTGGGCCAACATTCGGCTTTCACGCAAGTGTGCTCGTCGTATGGATCTTCTCCGTCTGCGAGCGGCGTTCTTCTTGGCTTGTTTCAAAGCCTTAGCAGCAGCGTCGTTGACGTTTACGGAGCTCGTCTCCTCTATAGGCCGTTTATGGCCTGAAGCACGTCATGCTGACGCGGAGGTGGGCTTTTCATCCATCAAAGCTAGTTTAAGCTCTTGGCCGAAGGAGAGGGCTTTCTTTGGTGTTTCAACAACAGAGTTGATCTCCTTGGAGATCTTGCGGACATCGCGATTAGCCTTGGGGCTAAGCGATCCAGAGGATAAGGCCTCCTAATATTTTGCTTGATCAAACTCCACGACGAGAGTTTCTACAATCGTTCCCATGAGGTGGACGTCGGACTGCGCCACCATTTCTTCATCGAAAAAGCTAGTCCCCAGCGGAGTCGCCATCTTTTGTATGTTGGAAAAATTACAATGAAAAGAACGAAAGAAAATTGACTTATATTTCTTTGATTCCGATTACAATTCGATTACAAAAGAGAAGAGAACAAATTTGGTTCTCTCCTTTGTTTAAAACTGGGTTCTTCAAGGTAGCGATGGAGTGCCTCCTTCGATTGTTCACGTCGAATTTGCTCTCCGTTGACGATCCGACCATCTTTTATCTCGTGGGAACGATGAACTTCTGTGGAAAAGTTTTATGAGTAACTCTTGTACGAGTTTAAGAACTCTGAACGAGTTAGAACTCTGTGAATAGAGTTGTTAGAACCGAAAATTCGGTTAATGACCAAGCAGATATTCTGTTGTTGAAGAATCCCTTCGGTTTTGATCTTCTGGACTTGATTTAAAAATCCTATCTCCAAGGATTTTTGCCTCTCTCCCGCCTCTCTGTGCAGTTGAGATCCTGAAGATCTAATTTGCTGCCTCTTCGTATCCCAAAAAAAAGCCCACCCCCAACTCAGTTGAGTTTGTTGAGTTTTTATAGGTGGATAAGAGGTTGTAACTGCCCTCCAAATCCGCTCCTAAGTGGGCGTGATTTCCTCAGATCATGGGGAAACAGTTCTAAAACCGTTCGACTCGTATTTAAACGAATCAAACGCCCAATCTGGCGTTCAGAACCCAACGTCACCTCTTAAAATTAAGACGTGAGGTTGGGTGTTGGCTGAACACCAATGAACGCGAGGGTCGTTCGCGTTTGGCTTGTTATAGCTTGGAAACGCGGGGGTCGGTGTTGGCTGAACACCAATGAACGCGAGGGTCGCTCACGTTTGGCTTGTTATAGCTTGGAAACGCGGGGGTCGCCTGCATTCCCAAAATTGTGACGCGGGGATGACTTCCGCGTTTTAGAAGGGATTAGTTGATCTGTAACCTCTTCTAAGAGCGTTGCAAGGACCGCTGTTCAGTAATTCTAGCTTTAGCTATTGTGGAATGTGAAAGTTGTCAGATTGTAACCTTCACTGTAGATTGTGAAGAATGCTGAATAGAGTTTTCATCAGTTGTCAGAAGTGTCGTTGAATTGTAACTCTTCTCGATCTATGTGAAAAGTCCTCCATTTGCAGCTTTCGTTTGTCGGCACAAAAACTATTTGATTGTAGCTTCCATTGTTGGAACTTGACGGGAATCAAACATCCATAGTGATTTTTAGACGAATATTTGCCCACAGCTCTCTACTAAGCAACTCACCAACTAAGTCTAACCTTCTATTTCTAAAATCATTACACTGCTTATCAGCATCTCTAATAGTTGCTAATATAATATTAGTCATGCTGTTGTCGCAGCCATCAAGATCAATCATCTTAGAAATGAGGTCATGTTTATAGTGGTTGCAGAGTTGCAGATGCAGTAATTAGAAAGTCGTCTGATTGTAACTTCCATCGTCGGGGCTTGATGGGGATCAGCTATCCATTGTGATTTTTAGACAGCCTACAACCATGAACTACTAATGCATCTCCCGATGCCTTCTCGGAGGACTCATCAACACTCTTCCTCAACTCATAATTCACCAACGCTGAGGTCACCTCCTTGTAACTAACAGTAGTTCTTCCATTAATCATAGTTAGGACAAACGTACCATAATCATCATCGGGCAACGAATACAAAAGTAGCATCGCCTTGTCTTCATCCTCAACCATGATATCCACATTAGCCATGTCTGAAAGTAGCTTTGTGAAGTTGTTAACATGCTCCCTAATGGAAACTCCCCTCTTCATCTTGAACTGATAAAACCTCTTCTTCAAGTGAAGCTGATTCTCAATGCTCTTAGTAAGATACTTTTCATTGAGTGTTTCCCACATCTTTTTCGCCGAAGTCTCGTTCATCACATCATAAATAAGATCTGGCGTTAAGCATGACCGAATAACTCCACACGCCCTACAATTCATCTTCTTCCAAACCTTAGCTTCCATCTCGGCAGGTTTCTCTTGTAACTCAAGAGTCTCCTCCAAAACCGAAATTGATCTTACCATCAAACTTCGGAACATCGATCTTCATGTTATTGATGCTCAAACTATGTATCGTCTTCGTAAGAGACGATCCCGATGTGCTTGCTTCACCCATGTTGTCGATCTAACTCTTCAAATAGGAATCCTTCAGCGAATCCTTCAAACAAGCCTCAAGTTGAACCCGAAGCTCTGATACCAGATGGTCCATTGTAACCATCGTACAGACTGCAAACGGTTTTACGTGAAGAAAATTGGTAGTGCACATAGTTGTCTCGGAGGAGGCATAGGATAGAAGGGACATCCACGGGCATCTCGTAAATGGGTTGCAAATATTGTGAAATCCATACTAAAAGAACAACCCACCTACCGCGCAATTGATCTTAAAAAGAAGCTTCTGAGAGAGTTTGGCGTTGATATCCCCTATGGAAGAGCTTGGTGTGGGGAGGATCTTGCTCAACAGGAGTTATATGGGTATGCAAAACATTCATATGAACAACTTAGATGGTACAAGGATAAAGTTATGGAAACTAACCCAGGATCAATCGTTCATCTAGAACACGAAGATGGCAGACTTACTAGATTTTTTATCTCATATTATGCTTGTTGGAAGGGTTTTGTCGAGGGATGTAGACCAATTTTATTCTTGGATGGCACCCATCTTTTTGATAGGTACAAGGGAACTCTACTTGCTGCTACTGCTTTGAATGGAGATGGAGGAATGTTTCCTGTCGCTCTTTGCATTTGTGGAACCAAGAATGAGAGCAATTGGGAGTGGTTCCTTGAATGCATTCATGACGTATTGTACAATTCAGATGATCCATATACTCCGAATGATGAGCTAGTTATAATCTCTGATCGAGACAAAGGACTTCAAAATTCCATCAAGAATTGCTTCCCTTGTTCATATCACAGTTATTGCATCCGCCATTTAATGGCCAATTATAAGAACAACTTGTCAAAGAAAAGATTACCAGCACCACTTAGGGATGATTGTGTTCAAATTATGAAGAGAGCTGCTTATGCCTACACAATGCATGCTTATCATAATGAATGTAATGAGCTCCAGAATAAGTCATCTATTGCTTTCATTGAAATGCTGAATATGAGCCCACAGAACTGGGCTAATTGTTATTTTCCTAGAAAGAGGTCACCATTTTTACATATTTTTGGTCTTTGTGATTGAACTCTCTGATATGTGTGTTTGAACATGTATAACATTTGAATAATCCTATAGCTATAACATGGTTGCAGGTATGGGTGGTTAACCTCAAATCTAGCTGAGTCCTTCAACGCATGGATTAAGGAAGCCCGATTTTTACCGATAGCGCAGTTGGTTGATCACATTCGGGTGAAGATGATGAAAATGAGCTACGATAGACGTGAGGAATCCAACAAATGGACTAAACCATTTGTTCCTAGTGTAGAGGAGCATCTTGTCCTAATCAACGAGGGTGCACGTTGTCTTCATGTTAATCCTTCTATGTCGATTCTGTATGAAGTACATGATTCCCCATCTGTTAGAGTGAATTTGGAGTACCGCACGTGTACTTGTCGCCAATGGCAAGTTCTTGGACTACCTTGCAAGCATGCGGCCGCCGTAATCAGGCACAAAGATTAGCTATTGTATCCAAATATTTCTGACTATTTCAGCACAGAGGTGTACCGCAAGTGTTACTCCTTTCCCATATATCCAATTCCTGATGATGAGAAGCCAATTATAACGGATGAGAATATGGAGATTAGACCTCCATTAACCTCGATTCGTAGAGGAAGGTCAAAAACAAAGCGGATCCCTTCTGGACTAAATTCTTCTAGAATGTTGAAGTGTAGCCGATGTAAGGAGTTCGGTCACAATCGACGAACATGTAACCAACCAATAGCTGATTGAAATATCACGCTTTTGAATATTTTCAAATCAGTTTGATTGTGATCTTCATGGACTTATTATAGGTTGATTATGTTTTGGTGGTGAAGATAAAAAAACAAACTATTTTGATCATTGTAAATTTTGTGTAACTACTTCAGTTAGTTTTAATGTTATTTCAGTTAGCTTTATTGTTATATCTGGTTGCTATACATTACTCAAAACCTTTGATGTTATCTTATCAAGTATTTGCGTCGCGGTGGATGATTGATCAATAAACACGTGACGTAGGTCGTCGAGTGGTTTCGTCACGGCGAAAAAAACTGATTTGATTTTAGGCTCTTAAGGTGCAGAATTTCCAGAAAGCATAAGGTGTTATACTTTGCCAATAAGGTGCTATACTTTGCCAATAAAGTACTATACTTTGCAATATAGTGCTATACTTTGGCCAAAAGGTGCTATACTTTGCAATATAGTGTTATACTTTGCCCAGAAGCTTCAAAATTGCGCGAGGACCCCCCGTCGCGGTGGATGATTGGTCAATAACACGTGACGTAGGTCGTCGAGTGGTTTCGTCGCGGCGAAAAAAACTAATTTGATTTTAGGCACTTAAGGTGCAGAATTTCCAGAAAGTATAAGGTGCTATACTTTGACAATAAGGTGCTATACTTTGTCAATAAAGTGCTATACTTTGTAATATAGTGCTATACTTTGGCCAAAAGGTGCTATACTTTCCCATAAGGTGCTATACTTTGCCCAGAAGCTTCAAAATTGTGCGAGGACCCCTCGTCGCGGTGGATGATTGGTCAATAACACGTGACGTAGGTCGTCGAGTGGTTTCGTCGCGACAAAAAAAACGGATTTGACTTTAGGCACTTAAGGTGCAGAATTTCCAGAAAGCATAAGGTGCTATACTTTGCCAATAAAGTACTATACTTTGTAATATAGTGCTATACTTTGGCCAAAAGGTGCTATACTTTCCCATAAGTTGCTATACTTTGCCCAGAAGCTTCAAAATTGCGGGAGGACCCCCGTCGCGGTGGATGATTGGTCAATAACACGTGACGTAGGTCGTCGAGTGGTTTCGTCGCGCGTCGCGGTGGATGATTGGTCAATAACACGTGACGTAGGTCGTCGAGTGGTTTCGTCGCGGCAAAAAAAAACTGATTTGATTTTAGGCACTTAAGGTGCAGAATTTCCAGAAAGTATAAGGTGCTATACTTTGCCAATAAGGTGCTATACTTTGTCAATAAAGTGCTATACTTTGTAATATAGTGCTATACTTTGGCCAAAAGGTGCTATACTTTCCCATAAGGTGCTATACTTTGCCCAGAAGCTTCAAAATTGCGCGAGGACCCCCCATCGCGGTGGATGATTGGTCAATAACATGTGACGTAGGTCGTCGAGTGGTTTCATCGCAGCGAAAAAACTGATTTGATTTTAGGCACTTAAGGTGCAGAATTTTCAGAAAGCATAAGGTGCTATACTTTGCCAATAAGGTGCTATACTTTGTCAATAAAGTGCTATACTTTGTAATATAGTACTATACTTTGGCCAAAAGGTGCTATACTTTCCCATAAGGTGCTATACTTTGTCCAGAAGCTTCAAAATTGCGCGAGGACCCCCCGTCGCGATAGATGATTGGTCAATAACACGTGATGTAGGTCGTCGAGTGGTTTCGTCGCGGCGAAAAAACTGATTTGATTTTAGGCACTTAAGGTGCAAAATTTCCAGAAAGCATAAGGTGCTATACTTTGCCAATAAGGTACTATACTTTGCCAATAAAGTGCTATACTTTGTAATATAGTGCTATACTTTGGCCAAAAGGTGCTATACTTTGCAATATAGTGCTATACTTTGCCCAGAAGCTTCAAAATTGCGCGAGGACCCCCCTTCGCGATGGATGATTGGTCAATAACACGTGACGTAGGTAGTCGAGTGGTTTCGTCATGGCGAAAAAAACGGATTTGATTTTAGGCACTTAAGGTGCAGAATTTCCAGAAAGCATAAGGTGCTATACTTTTCCAATAAGGTGCTATACTTTGCCAATAAAGTGCTATACTTTGTAATATAGTGCTATACTTTGGCCAAAAGGTGCTATACTTTCCCATAAGGTGCTATACTTTGCCCAGAAGCTTCAAAATTGCGGGAGGACCCCCCGTCGCGGTGGATGATTGGTCAATAACACGTGACGTAGGTCGTCGAGTGGTTTCGTCGCGGCGAAAAAAACTGATTTGATTTTAGGCACTTAAGGTGCAGAATTTCCAGAAAGCATAAGGTGCTATACTTTGCCAATAAGATGCTATACTTTGTAATATAGTGCTATACTTTGGCAATAATGTGCTATACTTTCCCATAAGGTGCTATACTTTGCCCAGAAGCTTCAAAATTGCGCGAGGACCCCCCATCGCGGTGGATGATTGGTCAATAACACGTGACGTAGGTCGTCGAGTGGTTTCGTCACGGCGAAAAAAACTGATTTGATTTTAGGCACTTAAGCTGCAGAATTTCCAGAAAGCATAAGGTGCTATACTTTGACAATAAGGTGCTATACTTTTCCAATAAAGTGCTATACTTTGCAATATAGTGCTATACTTTGCCCAGAAGCTTCAAAATTGCGCGAGGACCCCCCATCGCGGTGGATGATTGGTCAATAACACGTGACGTAGGTCGTCGAGTGGTTTCGTCGCGGTGAAAAAAACTGATTTGATTTTAGGCACTTAAGGTGCAGAATTTCTAAAAAGCATAAGGTGCTATACTTTGCCAATAAGGTGTTATACTTTGCCAATAAAGTGCTATACTTTGTAATATAGTGCTATACTTTGGCCAAAAGGTGTTATACTTTGCAATATAGTGCTATACTTTGCCCAGAAGCTTCAAACTTGCGCGATGACCCCCCGTCGTGGTGGATGATTGGTCAATAACACGTGACGTAGGTAGTCGAGTGGTTTCGTCGTGGCGAAAAAAACGGATTTGATTTTAGGCACTTAAGGTGCAGAATTTCCAGAAAGCATAAGGTGCTATACGTTGCCAATAAGGTGCTATACTTTGCCAATAAAGTGCTATATTTTGTAATATAGTACTATACTTTGGCCAAAAGGTGCTATACTTTTCCATAAGGTGCTATACTTTGCCCAGAAGCTTCAAAATTCAAAAGGTGCTATACTTTTCCATAAGGTGCTATACTTTGCCCAGAAGCTTCAAAATTGCGCGAGGACCCCCCGTCGCGGTGGATGATTTTTGCCCAGAAGCTTCAAAATTGCGCGAGGACCCCCCGTCGCGGTGGATGATTGGTCAATAAAAATTTTTAACTTATAATTTCAAGTACGTCTCTTCCTTATGGATAATTGAACAATAAAAAATTTTTAACTTATAATTTCAACTACCTCTCTTCCTTAAAAATCTGTGTTGTGTTATATTTTTCATTTCATGAAGAGCAAGTAATTGATTAGATGAGCGATAGTATTCTCAATACCCAAGTGATGTGTACCATAGACTTGCTCACAAAAGGTAATGGACTTGAAGGTAGTTGATAAAAGTTTGTATTATTATAGGATCTCCACAGTTAAGTTTAAGTCACAACCATTTGCATAATAAATATCCGCTAGGCTCTCAGCAGCAAAACCAGGAAATACAGATGCCAAATATTCCACGGGATTGACCGAAGCATCATCTGAAATAATCTGCTCATTTAAGGAATCATTCAACAAGCCAGAACTGGAATCTCCATTGTAATGATCCCACTCCCTTCCATTTGTAAAACGCTGGTCACCATTTACAAACCTTTTGTCCCATTCACTAGCAGAAAATGTCTCCCTTCCATTTGTAAAACGCTGGTCACCATTTACAAACCTTTTGTCCCATTCACTAGCAGAAAATGTCATAAAGGTATTTGATGGTTGATTTTGCTTGAAAGTAGATCCTGCATATCCAACCTTCTCACCGATGTCCAGATTACCAACTTCATGAGATATGTCCTGGTCTGTACCATATAATTGGTTGTTTACCGCTGTAAGGAATCTGGAAGTTTCAGCACTGTCATGCAACGATGAATTGGCAAGCAAAAGTTGCCCAGGTGTGTGCACCTCTTCTTCTACCATACTCTTGAAGTCAGGAGTAATATCATCTGGAAGTTGGTCAGCCAAGTACAAATCAACACAAAATGAATACACCAACCAACACAAAATGAATTTGCCAAGTACACATAACTAAGCTCATGCACAATTTCAACATTCACAACTTCAACATTCACAACAAATTCACATGATTTTAACATAATTACAGCATAAAACAACAAATACATAACACCACTACAAAAATCAACACCCTATGCTCCTGCACAGATTTAAGCTACACAATAAACACAAAATCCAAATCAGCCAAGTACTTTATGCTCCTGTACAGATTTAAGCTACACAATAAACACAAAATCCAAATCAGCCAAGTACTTTATACTCCTGTGCAACTTCAACATTCAGAACATCCAAGACATGTATATTCAGAGTCTACTTCCTGAGTAAAAACATATTCTAGCAGATTTTCTGCTTCCTCCGAGATAAAGGCAATAGCAATCTTTGCTCGTAGAAGTTCACAATCATCCTGATGAATGAATGGTGGTGTGTTGTTGATGATGGAATATATGTATCTCATCATGAAAATGCCACAATCTAAGCTCCTGCACAAACAAATGCCGCAATCAATGATTACATGATAAAATAATAATATGTTAGGAAAATCAATCACATTAATACATTTAAGTTATAGTCATACCCATCATGTTGAGGAACCTGTCGGGTTTCTATACTATACTCATCCATATTTTCTATTTTCCATTCATCCTTTATGCAAGCTAAGAAATTGTTCATGAACATCTTGGCATCATTAAGATATTTAATGCCAATGACTATTGCTAAGAATAGGAAAAATAATCTTCTCGCATTCTTCGAAGCGTGCACGTGGAAGCTGTCGACCCTTGAGTTGTCTTGCCCAATGGCCGGGATTATCTTGTAGTAACGCTCTCTGTTAAAACATGACCATAATATTTAACAAAAAATAATTTAAATGATAGTAAATTTTCCTAATACTCACGGCAAAGAATGATCCTATGATGTGTACGTGTTTAGAACATGCGTCCGTTTCAATCTTCATCTTAAATCTCTCTATCATACCATTGACTAACTGAAAATTATTCATAATAGAATGATCACAACTAAAATATGAAAATACACACAAAACTATTAAACATTGGGAACTTACACTATCGGAAATTGCGCTTCCAATAAGAAGATGATATACATCTAACCGGGTAACAGATTGCCAAACAAATTCATCTCTATGACAAATGAAACATACACAAGTTAAATAAATGTAATATGAAAGGAAGCGCAACATAAAACGAAATTTATAAAGCAAAATCGCATGTGTGGGATAAATTATACCTGTTCATTCTCTTCTTGCAAAACTCATCAAGGACTTTCCTCTCACTTTCATTTAACTTTCCCTTTGCCGGGTAATCGCAATTCTTAGGGATAAAATCAGTCTCCCTATTGACATTCCTTCTCTTCTCCGGCGTTTGCAACTAGGAAACATCAATCACTTCATTCTTTTCATCACACCCCGGCGTTTGCAATTGAGAAACATTAATTATCTCCTTCTTCTTCTCATGACGGCCTCGGCCTCGCAACTGTGTATAAGGTGAACGTCTTGCACGTGCAGGTACATGTTTCCTATCTCTAACGACCCGTTTAATTGATGGGGTTCTATCTTTGATGTCCCTTGCTGATGTCCTTGAAAAATATATAGGTAAGAAGTCATCATCTTCAATCAGCTCTTCCGTAATCATCTCTGGTTGTTTTTCCTTCCTCTTGTATTTAGAGCCACCACTTTTTTCTCACTCCTTTCTTCATCTTTACCCATCTCTTCATGACTTTGTTCTCCTTGTTCCCCTGTATTATCCTCATCATCCTCAACAACATTCCCCCCGACATTAGTATCACTGTCATCATCATCCTCCTCATCATTTGGATCATCACCATCCTCCCCATCACTTGGATCATCACCATCCTCGTCGTCCTCCCCATCATCTTGTTCTTGTTCTTCCCCTTTAGTTTCATCTTTAGATTCATTGCCACAATTACCGCCGCTAATCAACTTTTTCTCTAACTCAATAAGCTCGTCATACTCCTCTCTATTTTTGGCAAGCAACTCACGTACTTGAAGTAATGTCATCGCCTACAAATACAATACAATGAATGGGTTAGCATTCGAGAAAGATATAATAAATTGATAGCAACGAGACAACAATAGAGAATATGAAGTGTACATACAGGTTGATGACGTGATGCACTAGGAATGGATGATATGGTGGGTTGACTAGTAAAATTCCTAATACACTTTGGGTTTTCAATTATCCTCATCATCGCTTTTCGCCGTAATGATCGAGACTTCCTCTCAATAAAAATGGGGTGCAAGGAATCCTCTTTTATTTCACACTTGAGCTCCCCCACTAGTTCATAAAACCAAACCTAAAAAAACAAATTTAATTACAACTAGTAGAACATATGCAAATAAAATTATATAATTTTATTAAAACTCACCACCAATACTGAGGCAAACCCGCCCATGTATCCGGCTCGTGACCTCTCTCCTACGGCTCTCTTTGTGATGGACAACTTTGCCTTACTCATCTCCTTATGCAGTAGATCAAACACAGCACCAGCCCAATTATAAGAACGAAGAGCAAGTAAATTGTCCGCATATCTAAATGCCCATAATGGACATGAGTTAGAGGGCTGAGGGCATAATACAAATCCAATAATAAAAGCCACAAGTAATTTCACACATGCTATGTGGTTGGAGTCTGCCAACTCCACAATCAAATCCGCCATCCTTTTGTGTGTGGCCCACACTTTCTTCTTATCTTTATTTTCATCCTTCTTGTTGACTTTCCACTTCTTCCTCTTACTGGCCTTCTTCTCCTCCTCCTTCTCTGTTTGGGTCTTTTTACAATACACATGTGCAGTATATATAGTATTAGGCGCTCGACCATCCATTACAACCCTATTTCCAGTCTTCGGCAACCTGGTTATTTCATGCACATCTAGAACACTGAACGCAATATCCTTTCCCCCAATCCTGAATGAGCTATGCTCTGGATTAAATGCATGAAGCAAGCAGTCAACTGCAACTTGTTCATTAGGTATAGCCGGTAGATTAATGAAATGGAAAAAAGGGGTTTGACGGAGGGCTTCATAATGATTATTATTTAGCAAAGGCCTTAGACGATTATTCACCAAATCACGAAATACGCCAATATTTGAAGTAGAGGTAGCTGGCGAGGGCGGGTTTGGGGGGAAAGAAATGGCGATTTGGGGAGTTGGTTTCTGAGATCGACGAATGGAACGAAGCATTGTTTTTTTGGGGAAATGAAGAGAACGGTGATTTTTTGGGGAAATGAAGAGAACGAAGCGGTGATTTAGAACGAATTGGTGTTTTTTTTTGGGGGAAAATGAAGAGAACGAAGGGTAAAATTGCTAGGTGGCAGTTCAATTGCCAGGTGGCGTTTCAATGGGTAACTATTTTTAGTAATAGTATATTAATGATTTCAACACCAAGCTATCATAGGTGTTAAACCTTAGATGTTCGAGAGATTACTGTGATATAAGTACATTCTTATCTTTCGGGCCCTTTCAACAATTTATACGTGCAAGTTGCATGTGATCAAAACTACAACAAGGGGCTTAATTTCGATCAAAAGAAAGTGTTCTTCTTTTGGAACTTTAATTAGGTCAGCCAAACAATGGATAAATTATTAGAACTCACCGATGTAAATAAGAGTGAAGATACTAAACGAACTTCCAATGTACGAAACAATCCACAGTCCCACGATGACCTAAATTATACCAAACATCAACATAATTAGGTCAAGAAATCATCCATTTCCATAAATTAATTTAAAAAAAGAGGTTAATCACACTTGCAAGGAAAACCTTTCGATCTCTCCCAACTCCAATATCTCTCGCTACAGACAACACCGATTAATCCAAGCCCTAACTCTCTCCGTCGCCTTCTCTACAACCTCAATCGAAAAATAAAAACACTCAGTGATATGAGGAACTTGCGATGAAAATCGATGATCTAGGGGCTTAATTTCAAGTATTAGAGAGGAAAAGGGGAAGATTTGTGTGTTACCCGCTTTCAGACCCGTGCAGCCGCCGTCCGTCGTCGCTCCAAATGTCCTCCGCTTTCAGACCCGTGCACCCGCCGTCCGTCGTCGCTCACCGTCGAACCAACTCCCTTCGCCGCTGCCGGTGATCCTCAACCAGAGATCTCTTCGCCGAAACCCTAATCTCTCATGGATTCTTTGAGAAAGTGAAACAGAAGAGAGAGGGAAGAGAGAGAGAGAGGGGATGAGTTATATTTGGGGATGAGGTAGTTTAGGAATTTTTAATTTATTGGGTAAATACAGTACAAAAAATGGGTGTATTATACATGTTGGATTTAAAAATAAGTGAGATGAGATACAATGGGTCTATTGGTGTTTAGTAAAGTGGATGAGTTTTTAAATAATTGAGGGTAAAACTTTGGGTTAAAAGAGATTTTTCCCTTTATTTTTTTTTATTTTTAAAATCGATCGATTTTTTTTATTTATCAAAACCGACCCGTTTTTTATCACGTCAGCCTAATCACCGTCCTAAATAGTCGGGGTTACCAACCCCGGCTATTTAGGACATAAAATTTTAGGATTTAAGACTTCTAATTGGGGTTCAACGTACTCCTAAATAGTCGGGGTTGGCAACCCCGACTATTTAGGAAGATGATTAGGTGACGTGACAAAAAACGAGTCGATTTTGATAAATAAAAAAAATCGGTCGATTTTAAAAATAAAAAAAATTAAATGGGGGTGTCTTCAAAAATTGTTCTAAAGAATCTTGGTTACAGGCACGATACCGAACTCAGAGCTAGAGAGACAAACCGTAAGAGAGAGAGAGAGAGAGAGATCCGAGGAGACAGAAAGAAGAGAGAGAGAGAGCAATGGAGTCGCCGCCTGATAACGACGTCTGCTCAGTTTGCCACGACAGCTTCAGCCTCCCTTGCCAGGCCAACTGCTCCCATTGGTTCTGCGGTAATTCAAAACCCTAGTTCGCTAATTCAAGCAAAAGATTGCATTTTTAGGTCACAATCCAACACATCTGCGTGAATTTGTGCAAAAGAATGGGGATTTCGTGATGACGATTCCTTCATCCTATTTGGGGAAGCTGAATGCTATTCGTATTTGCTAGATCTGTTGTACTGCATCTATGGAAAATTAGGAAATTGGCAAGTAATTAATGGCACATGTGAGAAGCAAAAAAAAAGCGATTGAAATTTGAGAATTGATATAATTCTGGTTACTAACTTTTGGCATTAATTTCTCTGCTTACTCGCCCAGAAAAGGCGTTCAATTCTGTTAAAGTTATGATTTTGAAGCCAAATGGCTGTAGTCTTGCCTTTTAAGTTTATCGATTGGTGTGATCAGGACAGTGTATACTGAGGGTGTGGCATCATGGGTCTGCACTTCAGGCCTGCAAATGTCCCATTTGTCGCCGTTTTATTACTTTGCTGATACCTGCTGAGGTTGCACAGCGTCAGCATCATGATCCGGAAGCTAGTCGAGTTCTGCAAGAAATAGAGAAATATAACCGTGTGTTTGGCAGAGGCTCGAATAGCCTCATGCAGGTAAGATATCCTTGTAGTTTCATATCTCGCGGTCAATGTTTCTTCTAGCTCTGTTCTTTTCGAATGGGATCTCTTCCTGTGTGTTTGCGTCTGCACGATTGCACGATAGGTTACTTGCAATGTGGATGCTGCCCATTGTATCCTAATTTTCATAGGACAACCAAACCTCATCCGAATGTTGAGCGAGAGAGCAAGTGCATGATAATTTCTAGGACATGATAAAAAGATTTCTTCAAAGGGTTCGACAATACATTGGATTATTGGACAAAAGGAATACCTTCAAGCATATTCACCTTCTTTCTGTGTATGCATCACTTTCTTGGCATAGTTTATTTACTCACTATTATCATGTTATTTGTCCTTGTATGACTTCCTTAATACCACAACCTATTTAAAGAAAGACATTTGAATTCCAAGTTAGGTTAGAATTAAACTGAGAGTTGTGGTCTGTCTAGATGGGCTAGCATGCATCCTTTCTGCAAGCTTTTTGCCAATACTGTTTATTTTGAATTTTGTTATAGACAAGAGTTGGAAACATGTTAAGATGACAAGCGAAATGTGCGAACCCAAGAAAATTCTTCATTAAGTTCTCTCCTTATCATTCACATTTAGAAAGTCTTTGAACATACTATTGTTTTTCTCTATGGTTACTTCCTTATTGTTGTGTTAAATAAAATCCTAAACTAACCCTCCTTTCTAGTTCCATGAATAAAATAGTTATAAAAATCTCATACATAAGTAATATATAATTATAAAAAAGAGAGATGATAATATTTATTGTGGGTTTAGAGATCATGCTAAACAGTGTAGGGTTCTAGTACTCTCATGCCACCTATCAACCAAGATATTATATGCCAGATAAAAGTTTGAACTCGTGTATAATTGTTTCCTTGTGTTATATGCTATGTTGCATGGGTACAATACAGATAGGAGTGCAGGTGCGAGACACGACAAATTTAGACAAGGAGTTTAAAAAAAAGACCTTTTTTGCTAAATAATTAGCAAAACCGACCATTTTGCTAATTATTTAGCAAAAACGACCTCTTTTTGGCCAACGGATGTCGTTTTAAAAAAACTGCGTATTCGAAACATACGGGACTGTCAGTCCCGTATGTTTAGTCGCCATTAATTGGCGACTAATACGATGCCAGAAAACCTACGGGACTACTAGTCCCGTAGGTTTTGGTTGTAATCAGTGTCTGCCACCATACATGATCCATCATTAACAGTCTTTCCTATGTGAGTTTAGCTCTTCTCTAATTGTCACACTTGGATAAAGGTCACTCTAACCATCCTTTCATATTCTTGAATCTCAATGCATCACAAAAGTAGCACCCGATGATATTTCTACAACTGCAAGCAACCTTGGTTTCTGCACTTATTGAACATCGTAAGCGTCACTCCGAACTCATTCTGAAAATTTTGATGCACATCTATTATCCATTTGCATTCATGGTAAACTATCTCATTGGTCGTAGTATTTTTTTTTTTTGCTAGCACAAGTATTCTTGATTGTTAAATTTTGTGTATGCACCAAACACATCGTAAATATATGAGGACATTAATTTTCTGTTGCTCCACTAACAAACTTAAAAGTCTTGTACGTCATTCATGATGAGTTGAGGATGCGGATAGATTTTCCCCTATGACCTTTCTTATTTAATTCTTGATGATACAGATTTGAGATTTTGAACCTGAGTTATAGATTTTATGAAGATAGGACAATCTTCTATCACCAGCAGAGCATTTATAATTTGGGGATTCATTCATCCATTGGAGACAATAGATTTCCCTTTCTCTTTGCAAACTTGCCTTACTGGTTCCAACTCAAGTCCTGCACCAATTTGTCATCTTGTAGTAATGGAGTTCTCAAAGTATTAACATCCTGGAGCCTTTTATCCTTTGAGATTACTGTTTCTCGTCATGGAGAAGGTTGTCACAAGAATAAAACTATTGGAGATGAACGGTTAGCCCTCTGAATAGTATATTTTTTGTAAGTTCGTCATCAAATAGCTTTTGATCTTGAATATTAAATCACATGTTAGTGGTTTGCTTGCCAACTTTCTTCTTCTTTGACTATGGGTCTAAAAAGTATGAATTTTACATGAGCCATCAACCTCAAACTTGCACTTAAAAAGGTGTATCAGTTTTTTAGGGACTTTGGCACCACATTTGCTCTCATCTCGGCTTACTCAAGCTAAATCTTAACTTCTTGTAAACTTGCATTTAAGCTCTTGGCTATACACTAATTGTCTTGCTGACAATCTTCAACAAATGACATTTACTCAGTTCTATAAGGCTATAAGCTATTGTATTCATTTATGAGAAACTTACACTTCCACCTTCAATTTCTCTCACTTCGTCATGTTTTTTACTTTAACATGTTCATTACACAGAAGTTCTATTATTTTTTATCTGAAGGATGACTGTATGATGGCCACTTGGGATGCATCTTTAACTCTACAATATTAATACATCATTGATAACAAGAACACATGCATTAGAACAATCGTACAAGTTTCAAAATGAAACATGATATTAAGCAGTGTTATCTATGCGCAATGAGCAATGCGTGCCACAAAGTCCCTTTACATGCAAATGCTCAAGGCGCAATGTGATGTGCACGCCTGAGTGAAGCGAGATGCACACCGTACATAATTTTTCTAGATAGATAACAAGAAAATGTAAGAACAAGTGGCCTAATCGGTTTTTGGGATATGGGTCATCGGGTATAAATACCTGATTGCAACGTTAAAGCAAAAAAAATATGAGGCTATGCCATTCAAAGTGCCCTGTGCGAAGCGCCTTCTCGCAAGGCACTTGCGAGGCGCAAAAAACTATTGTTGTCTCAGACACAAGACGCTTCACCATGATCCCACATCGCAGAGCGCATGAGGTGCAATGAGCAGCACGCCTTTTGATAACATTGATATTAATAACCTACAGACCTTCCCAATCTATTTACCAACTTAATGTATAAATTTCTGCATAGTAGTAGATTAGTTCTTGTGTCCAATATGCTTCTTTACAATTTGAAATGAAAGCATATTTTACTACTATGTTAAATACTAGCAATATGAATGATTAAAGACAAATTGTGCTACGGATTAATATCATACAACATGAATAAATAATTAGTGCTATGCGAAAAGAAGTTAAATTAAATCCTAATCATAAACTGAATTGTTTTCCTTAGTCCTAAATCAAAGCATGAGCAAGATTAATTTGCAAAAGCAACTAACATTTACAAAATAAAAAAAGGAAACAAATCCTATTCCTAATTTATCCTTGAAATATTAGCTCAAATCTAAATCAAACGAAAGACTAAAATTTCTAATAATTAAAATAATCCTCAATTTGTGGAAGCACAAGTATTGCAATCAGATAATTACATTATAATTTTAGGTAAAACCTAAACTTTTCCTTTTAGCCTTTGTAACCATTTGCTGCGCCCCGAAACAATAGCAGAAGTTCATAAATATGGGTTACATGACAGTAGCAACCTGTGCACAAGGCAAGTCTCATACACGTGTTAAGCCTTGTCACTTCATATCACATAGTTTTTCACAAAAATATAAAACATGCTAATGATAGAAGTTTAGAGCAAACTATATATACATAATCAGTACTTGCAACCTAAAGGCTCACTGTCATAAGCATTTACGTAACCCAAACATGTTGTTTGGCTATATACAAGGCAAAAGAGAGGCTTTCTCATTTAACACCTTCAAGCAAAATGCCACATCCAAAAGCCAGCTTGTAAACAAAGCTATACAATATCTAAAAAAAATGAAACTCTCGGGCGCCCCTTTCCAAAGGCTCGCTGATAGCATCTCGTGGTGCGGTAAGGTCTGGGCTGCTCTGGAAAAGGGCGCCAGAGGAGGGTGGGAGCCCTGTGGTTTTCATTTTTTTTATCCAGATCCTATATAGCTTTGTTTACAAGCTAGCTTTTGGATATGACATTTTACTCGAAGAAGTTATTGGATATGGCATTTTGCTCGAAGATGTTAAATGAGAAAGCCTCTCTTTCGCCTTGTATATAGCCAAGCGATGTGTTTGGGTCTGGTAAGAGCTTATGACGATGAGCTTTTGGGTTGCAGGTACTGATTATATATATAGTTTGCTCTGAACTTCTATCATTAGTAGGTTTTATATTTTTGTAAAGATCTATGTGATATGAAGTGACAGGCTTGACATGTGCATGAGAACTTGTATTGTGCACGAATCGTTGCTGTCATGTAACCCATATTAGTGAACTTGCGCTATTGTTTCGGGACATGACACCATTAGTTAGTAATAAACGTCAAAAAATCTCTTTCGGTCCACCCTCGTCGCTCGTAGTTGGTTTTCCTTCATCAGCGGACATGCTTGTGTTGTCGGTCAGTGATCAGTGTCATTGTCAGCTCATTTGACGACCGCTTTCCGGAGGGAAGAGAGGGAGGGACAGAGGGCTTGGGATTAAGAATTATTGCATAAGACTAGCATACCAGATATATGTTACCATGCAAGTCCAGCCCATTGTCATCTTGATTGGACCCAGATTTGTGTGGATTCATACAACTTGTGCCAGATCTGGGTGTGTTCAAGCCTGATGTGTGATGGATTCACGCTTGGACAAGTTTCTCGCGAATTTGTGCATCAGAACTTCACATAAAATTTGCTTCTGTGCATTGCATGATATATACATATATACGTATACATACAGAAAATTTTTGTTGGCTAATTATCATTCCATCGACCAAAAGAATATTATTGATCTATGCTGCATGCTCGAGCAGTCATTTTCTACATATGTACATTGGTTGAGAGTGCACATTTAGTTTACACTACTGTGTTGTCAAGGCTAGCAGCATTTAGCTCTATTGTTGGGTTTAGAGCATGGATCTTGGTCGAGGATCTGTATCTTTGAATCGCCTTATTACGTAGTACCTACATCATCAATGAATCCTACATGTTGTTTTATTTTCTGTTTGACATATGGTGGACAATATAAGCTGTGAATCTTTCCTTGTCATTTCTTATGAGGTTTTGTCTTTTTTAATATGTTTACCCTCTTTGACAGAGATTGCGAGACCTTCCATTTTTTGTTCGAAGAATGCTAAGAGAACTGATGGATCCGCAGAGATCCCTTCCTTTTGTTTTTAGGGCACGGATGATTTTTGCAGTAAGTATGATGCTCTTCCTGTTTGTGAATATTACTTACCATCGTGTTGTTTTTTCGTTGGATTAATTATTTGCAAACTTCAAATGGATCACATGGTGGGTCCCTACATACAAGATAGCAGCGCCGCTACTATTTGATGATGACCCCATTCTTTCTCTATAAAAAATTGAAGATTTCATATACAGATATACTTCGGGTCAATGACTGTTATGTTAGGTTGGGTTTCATCTATGCTTTGTGATAGCAGTCATAAGTGAGTCATGCACTCAACTGCTTTTTAAGTATTCTTGTCCATCTCACCGTGTATCAACGGTGCCCACTTGTAAGTTTGTTAAGTGTATTCATTTATGGTTTCTTCAATCGATTGCATCTCACCCATGGAAGACTCGTCTTGTCTAAATTGCTCCCTCCCTTTTCCCAAGACACGCATGTGACGGGCTGACTTGAAAGCATTCTCATACCCTGCTACAATGTGCAGTCTATTTTATGATATTAGATTTTATTGTTGACTTTTTTCCCCATTTGATAACTGATTTAGCCTTGGATCTGCAGATGGTTCTAAGTGGAGTATATGTACTGAGCCCTGTGGACATTCTTCCAGAAAGTAATGCAAATTTATATTATCTTTGGCCACAATCCTCTAGCATCCAATGTTAACATCTGGTGTGAATGCTCTACTTTTACAGGAGTTCTGGGGCTGGTAGGTTTACTAGATGATTTCCTCGTATTGCTAATTGTTTTTCTCCATCTGGCTGCTATATACCGGTCTTTGCTTCTTCATCGACACGGAGGCTATTGAAATACCCAGTCACTGGATTATCATGCTTCCATAATTGGAGAAGTTTTTGATAATTCTGTACTCAGTTTTCATAATCTGAAGCTAAAAGAGTATTAAGATGAGACGTATTCCTGTAATTTCTAAAGCCAAATGTTATTTTGACGACTGGCACCCACCTGTAGCTCATTGACAAAACACTGTAACCTGAGTTATTATGTTGTTCACTCCACTGTGATACCCATGATCCGGGGTCCTTGTTCTTTAAACATCACTGTTGCAGTCGATGTGTGTATAAAGTAGAACACGGATGTTAAAGTTTGGCTATGGAACTCTCAACTTGGTTCTCATTTTCTTTACTTGGTAATGACGCTCCTTATCTCCATTATCTGGTTGTCAATGACTTTTTTTTAGCTGATAAGTTGAAAAGTCTATTAAGAAATGTGGACATGTAATGCAAAGTTTTTATTTCTATAGAACACACTGAATCTTCTAAAGTCGATGCATGGCTGTCTTCATGCTCCAGGGAGCTAGTATTGGGTGTAATTTATCGAAAGGCTCGACTGTTGAGAGGAGGGGGATGTTTTTCTTCGGATCTCAGTTTGTGGTTTTCTTCGTCCTGAATGGGTTGCCACATGGCTTACCAGATATAAGGTTCTGTACAGAAACTGTTCTGTGCATTGAGAGTGATGCTCAGGTATAACACTGTCTTCAGAGTAACTTCAAGCTCTTATATTAATAAAAAAAATGTCAAGCTGTTATAAATGCCTCACTTTAGTTTTGATGATGAAGTAGCATACACATCTCAAGTTCAGATATGCTAGTAAAAACATATATCTGAAGGTTGCAATGGAGTTGATAAAAGGGACTAATTTGCCTAGACCCGAATATGAAATAAGTTGTTTGCATTTTTCTTTTTCTTTTTCTTTTTGCTTTCCTTTTTTTTTTTTTTTGTGTGTGTGGGGGGGGCGGGTAACTTAGCAATGAACCAAGAATGGGGGAGCCTATGCGAACCTCCCGACCATCTCGGTCACCCACGGTTGGTATGAGTAAGTTGTTAAGCAGCAAGGGAGCACGCACGGGGAGTATGATTAAGTTGTTAAGCAGTAAGGGAGTGCCACTGAAACTAAGGAACTGTTGATACATCAGAATTGCAGTTTTTCAGCCAATACATAACTTATCTGAATAAATGTAACACTTTCTATGGTCAACAATCAAAATATAACAAGCAGTTAAAGAATTCGATATCATACAGTACTATTTACTTTCTTATAAACATAATATCTAGCAAAGATGATGTTGAGGACCAATGCGATAGCACTGGGTCCAGCAAGAAGCCAGTAGGAATAATCAAGATGAGCTAGATTCAGGTTGTTGGAAAACCAGCTGTCACCTGTAATGAAGCCATAAAAATACTGAGGTAGAGAGCAAGCCCAAGGCTTCTCAAAGCATCTGGCATCTGATCATAGAGAATCTCTTGTAGCCCGACCATAGTAAACACGTCTGATATGCCCAAGAGTACATATCGAGAACCAACCACCAGAAGCTCATAGGAATAGTTGCATTTTGTGCATCAACCAGCCTGAAATCTCTGGCAGTTTTGAGCCTCTTCGTTTCTATGAGATCATCATGGTAATCATCGAAAGCACCACTCCAATACCGATCCTTTGAAAAATGTGATACCCGATGGACCCTTTGAAAATTTTCTAGCAATTGGGACTAGGACTCGATCATAGATAGGAATGAACACAACAACTGAAATATTTGTAAAAGGTCTGCAGTGCTGCTTGTGGGACTCGGAGTTTTGAACTGATTCTTCTGTCCAAGGTGCTCCCTCAGCTTTGTGAAGAAGGCAGAAATTTGTGCAAAAACAACGGCATAGATTAAGCATGTTGCCCCTATTGCAAATAGTCTAAGCATGACCTTAGCTTCTTCTATGTGTATAGCGCTGTCTCTATTGCCTTCTTCTATCCTGTATGGTGACAGGTATACGAGATTAATAGTTTACTAGTTAACTGCTCGTATTATGGATATTCCAGGTTCCTCTTCTAGCTATGGCTTGTGTTCCCCCCAAAACGCTAACGTTCTATAATTGAATATGATACTCGTAATTCAGATTTGAGTGTAGCTCCGTGCTGGAATGACTATGAGAGTAATGAACTTAAATCGAAAAGTTGAGATCAAATAACTAAAAGTGTGAGCATTCATATCGGGAAGACTGAAAGCATGAAGGATTTAAACTTTTGGGTGAATTTGTTTCTCAGCCAATGTTTAGTTATCCCCAGGGAAATTTAATGTTGTGTGAAAGATAAAAAGTTCAAAAATTTTATCTTACTTTGTACTGATCTGATGAGAATGTTTGTTCGTCTCCAGGCTTTCTCCAGCTTCTTCTTACCATACCAGCCATTATTCCTCTTCCAATTCTCACACAAATGGACTTTTCTCTTCCAAGGGATAGAACCTACATGTTTTGGTTCCGAGCAAGAACACAACGAGAGCAAGAATCATCGAGACGCAAAGGAGTCCAAACCCAAGATCCCCGCAGAGAGAAAATTACCCACTAGCTAGTTAAAGATGGAGCTCTGGCGATGGATTCCTCAGGATAATTTTGATTGAAGTGGTCAGCACCAAATGCTTGAAAGCAAGGTTTGTGGCCGCCCTGAGCAAATGCGACCAGATAAATGGAGGAGAAGAAGAAAAAGGTGGTCTGGAAGTTAAGTCGGATCAGGGCAACCTGTAGATGAGTCGGAGGGGTTGTTGCGCTTGGGTGGACGCAATGAAGGCATCGCTGCTGATAAGGTCAGCATTTCTAATACCCTGTGAAGTAGTTAAACACTACGAAGAAGAAAAATTCTTAAGGAGACCAATCTTTGTTTTTTTATCATCGACAAACAAATGAAAGAAGCTAAATATCTTAACGCTAAGAAAATCAAACTGAAAGGGACTTTAAATGCAAAATACCACGAACCAAAACTTAGAGTAAAGAGGCAGAGACTGTAATTAGGTACCGAGCAAGAAGTGAATTGGCAACCACCAAAAACGACGTCATCATCTCAACCCCAGACCAAAAGCGTGGAACGCTGCTGCTGCTGCCGCCGCCTCTGCCGTTGACTCCCTCATCTGACCGGTTGGATACATTATCAAATTTGATGATATCCCAAAGTAGGCCACGGTAGTCAACGACCCCAGTGACAACGACCCCGGTCAACGGGCAGTGGAGGAGGAGAGGGTTGGAGGAGGAGGTCTCCATCCTTCTCTTCATTCTGTTTGGTGCCACTATAACAAAAGTTGTAAGTTATGGTACATTTTTTGTCTCTACGTGACACATGTTTGTGTCGCACAATTAAAGTAGCCACATATCAAAAAGTGCTGGTGGAGCATGTGTCAAAAAGTGCTGGTAGAGCATGTGTGGAGAGCATCTTTCTATACATGTAAGAATGTGTCGCAATACTTATGATATATACACGTATCATAAAAATCACGACACGTGTGTCGCAACGCAAAACTCTCGACACATATGTGTGGAGAGTAGTGACACATATATATGCCACAAAAGTTGTGACACATGCATGTGTCAAGAGTGGTGACACATAGTCGTCTAAATCATAAAAATATAAAAAGTATCAACATTCAACACTGAACTTCCCAAAATGTTACCCATCATAGGATTCCTCTCACCAAAATACACTTAACCATAGAGTTGTTTGGCTTATACGTTACCATATATGTTTGATCATCAACATACCTAAAATCTAAGACTTATTATTTAAGCCCATCATTAGATCCTCACACAATCGATGAGGGACTTTTAGTCTTTATTAACTTAATTTAATTTTATATCTAATAGCACAAATATGTGTCATGATTTACCATATTTTTTATTCGTGTCACTGTTATTTAATTCTTTGCAAATAAAATGATAATTTTATGTGTCATGTAGACACATGCCACTTTTGTTGTAGTATGCTTTGCTTATGATTTAGCTGCTAACGTTGCATGTGGGATCAAATAAAGTATTTTTTTTACACCGCAAAAGCGTTGGATATCTAAGGAGTCTTTTCTTAATATATTGGGGAAGTCTCATTGTCCACGGCCCAATGCAAGTGGACTATTAGGATGAGTACTGTAGAGTATAAGGATGTGAGGGCTCTTTACTTTTCTTGAGCTGCTAATCAAGCAGTTCTTGGGACTTCCAATATTTATACTATATGATATAAATCTTATATTAGATTAAATTAATTTTCCACCATTTTACTTCCATTATTTTTTTCATTATGATTAAATGAGGTCACCCTCGGATTGCTTCTCCAACCCAACTAGCTACTCCTGAATCCCTAATTCTTATACGCATGATTTGTGGTTCTGCCGATTGATTGTGGCACAGTCGACACATTTCATATATGATTTATGGTTAGATCACAAATCCGGCAACCCCGCTATCATGTATAAACTGTAGACGTTACACGAGGCAAAAACATTACCTAAGACACAACATTCTATAAACTATTTGCGACATCCCATTGACAGCAATTTAGTCCACATTAGTGGGAGAATGAGAAATTAAAGGGTTTATATAGGGAAAGCTAAAAACTCAAGTGTAACATCGGCTAGTCGATTTTGGTAGTGATTTGAGCCCAACAGTGTGTTACATTTGGTGAGTCTCACGGCTTGCCCGCGCCAACCGCAGACCCGTTGGCGCTTGACACTCTTGAATGTTCGCAACGTCATATAATGCACTAACATTTTAGAAGTCGGTTGATATTACATGAACCACCTATTCACTTTATATAAACATTGCGTATATATCTAGGCACAAAATAATCATTCCAAAATTACTTCGATCAAACTATTTTTATAATGGCATAATTCTAAAGCATTTTTTAATAAATATGATATTTTATTACTATTGATTTCACCAAGTCGAGTTATTGGAAGAGGTGCACAATTTGCAATTAAATAGCTTTCTTCTAACGTATGTATTTTCTACTATTTTTTAAAAGATAATATTGTCAATGGGTAAGGGGTAAACTTACCATAGTACCATATGTTACTTTTTATTTTCTCTTTTTATATGTCAACAATATATATATTTTCATGTCAATATATATGTCAAAATTAAGTCCAGTTTAGTTCATGTTAAGTCTAATTTTATGTTAAGTCCAGTTTTGGATCATGTTAAGTCTAGTTTCATGTTAAGTCTAGTTTATCATGTTAAGTCCAGTTTGGTTCATGTTAAGTCCAGTTTTGGTTCTTGTTAAGTCCAGTTTGATTCGTGTTAAGTCCAGTTTAAATCATTTTAAGTCTAATTTAGATCGTTTTAAGTCTAATTTCATATTAAGTCCAATTTGATTCATGTTAA